CTGGTAAAAACAGAGTGTACCCATTCTATCACCATATGATCTGTTTTCGGCAATCCAAAAACTGCGATGAGCAGGATTAAATGAATAACTTCATACAATTTTTATCAACACTGTTTACGGAGCAAAGGAGATGTTTAAAAAACAGTCTGTTTCTTAAAAAAGATTTTGTGTACTTGTTCATTCCGCTTCAAGTCGGAAACGACAATGTATAAAAACGAAACGGCTCCTTGAGACAACATAATCATTGACAGTAGTTTGTGACTTCTCCGCGCTGTTTTCAAGCAGTGTGAAGGATTTTTGGTTCCGGGAAGTATAAGCGACAGAATTTCCTGATCATCTGAACTTTGGACGTTCATAAAGCTCATGGAGACAGACCAGCAACGTCCATGGCTTCCGCGAGATAGCCCAAGTGGTTAGAGCGCGAATTTACCGACCGGAAGGTCCGTGGTTCGAACCCGACATTTGGCACTCGACTTCCCCTGTCTAGGCTTGGGCAACCTGGCAGTATCCCAGCCCTCGTGCTTCCTCCGGGTGGCATGGCAGCTAGGCACCGGAAGGGTGCTACAGCTGAGCGATGGCTTCGGAAATGCGTGTCAAGGACAACCTACATCGTTAGTTTAGATCCTTGTGCCTTGTATTCAACGTCATGTTCGTCCTAACCGGCCCCTGTCAATGTCTTTGATGTACCGAAGATCATCCTATCTGGCGCTGTCATAAAAACCGAGTTATTTGAAATGAGACTGAGTTTTGGTGAGCCACCACGTTTCCACAACTCAACTCAGNCCGAGTTATTTGAAATGAGACTGAGTTTTGGTGAGCCACCACGTTTCCACAACTCAGATATATATATATATATATATATATATATATATAATATTAAATATCACTAAAGTGTCATTATTATTCTGTTTACTCCCCATCCAGTGGCAAACCAACATTGGATAATTGGTATGCGAACAAGGAGGTTTCTGAACAACAGCGATTCAACGCCAATGCTAGCTTCGTCTGAGCAACTCTTCGTCGATTGAAGATCAGCGTGTTTCGGAAAGGTTGATTCAGGTTGGATATCTGGGCCCTTTAATAATGTGTAAATCTAATAACAGATGGCCTAGTGACATGTATATGTGAGTATAACGGAGGTAGTTGTGGGTTAAGCCTTTGACCCAAGCGGATCTTAATCGCTCACCACTTCGCACAGACGGCATTCAAACTGAGTGGGAGAGAAACATTCTTCCGTAGCAGTCTTCGCCCTGAATCTGTGGGCTTTTTCCATGCATCCCCTGAGCTTTCTGAGCGCGGTTGAGGTGAGACGATCTGTGCTTCATGTTCCAAGTTTCCCTTTAACAACAAAAGTTCAGACGGTAACTTAGGTAGAAAATGTGCGTCACACGGGGCAGACATATCTCGTCTTCAAAAACGGTGAAGTCTATGGTCTCAACCACATGTCGAAGATTTCCGGGGGAACGTGTAGTAGGAATGTGCTGGTGATTCATCGTTCCTGATTATAGATTATTGTTTGGTTGCTCTGTCTACAGTAAACTTTGGGTAAAACTCGAATGGTGCAGTGATCAGACCTAATTAGAGTCGTGCCGCGTACCAAGCACGTTTGACGGCAAGAAACAAGCTTGTTTTCTACGTTTCTCATTCCAGCTGTCCATATAGAAAACACATCAACGTGGCTTGGACCAGTGCAAGGTAGGAATTTGACAGAATTCGATGGAAAGAATGAACTGTTTGCCCGAAAAATTGGGTGGATTAAGATATTCACTCGGAGGATGGATAAATTATTCCTGAGGAACCTGTAATCTATTAACATGTGAAAACTATGAAATTAAGATTTGTTACTGGCATGGCAATTTCAAATAAGTGGCGAAGAGTTCCTTGAAATGCCTTATAAAGAACAATTTCTTCCGATAGTGAAGGCCTTTAGAATACTATAAACGCCAATCTCGTCTTTGATAGTAATCATATTGTAGGTCTCATTCCCACCCGCCCAAGCAAGACGATAGAGCAGAGTAGATAGAGAGTAGAGCAAGACGATAGCAAAACAAAATGGAAACACACCGTTGATGGGGCAGGTAGTTAACTAATCTGTACACCTTTACCGGAGATACGAATGTAAACGGACAAGCCCACTGTAACAGGTTTCGGACGAAATATACTCATTTGCAAGTAAGACTGAACCGGTGCGTCTGTCAAATAAGTTGATGAGGCAACACCAGACCAATGACGAGATTTGCAATCCTAGTACGACTGGCTGACCGGAAATTCCTTCACTAATAGACGGAAGGAATCACAGAATGCGCCGTACGTGTTCTTTAAAAAAAGTGATGTTGGAAGGCACGTCCAAAGCGACACGTCTATGTGTATTCTATTCGGCAGTTCGTAGTGGGAGAAGAGGTTTTTGTGAAATTCACGAACGTTTGATTCACGATGACGGAATTTTCAGAAAAACGCCAGATCCATATCTTCTTAAAACAGGGTAAATGGAGGTCATAGTAAGGTTTTGCACTTTACCCCCTTGGAGTCAAAAGGTAGCCAGATTTCAGTAGAACCAATGAACGTTGACTATAGGCTAATCGCAATTCAGTTGACACGCGAAGTATAATTTAACTTATCTTTATGTGCGAGTCTGCTGTGGTCATACCAGCCATCACAAAATCTTTGGTAACCAAATAAAGTATGATCCATAAGTTAGCGGTACGGTAGGTGTGACTTCCCGAAAGGGATGAGTGCGTAGTTTGTCTATAACGCGAAGAATACCCAGGAAAAACTCTGATCACGTTGGGAGGTAGAACTTTGGAAATGTGTCGAAATTTCGGTAGCTAGAGTGACTTTATTTGCTGCTGGCCTGTTCACCGAACTTAGCAACTTACTCCCAAACGTTTCGTCACTATACACTACACTATATATTGCGCACTGATGATGTCTTCTTGTATGGGGAAGAAATGATTGCATGTCAATTGGCAAGTTCGGTGAACAGATCAACGGCCAGTTGGCGAACTGCCGGATAAAACCTTATTCTCCAAATGTCGCAAGTTGTAAATAGTATGTCTGAAGCAGGATGTGTGGCCCAGTGATAATAAAACGAGGGTTTAGCGCAAATACATACCTGTAGCACATGTTTGTAGCACATGTGCTTTGGCAGGGTCGGCTTGGCAAGTATGGATTCACGTGGTTCGTAAGTGAAAAATAGCCTCATACTCGTAGGCAAAGGACCGTCTGTTTTCAGTCAGAACGGGACGACAGCAGCAACCAGGGCTTATTTAGGCTTGTCTTTTTGTCACGGCTACTATCCATATGTGTGCCGCAGAAGGTCCATTCTGTTATCAGTGGAACTGATCGCGGCTTATGAGTTGCATTTCGCTTGATGCATTTTTCGAAAGTTTTTCGAAAGTCGTCTAAAGGAATTTGTTTCAGGTCCAATCCAGCTCCTTAGAAACAAAGAGATGCAAAACCATGAGTTTTTCATGCCCATTCAACAACTTTAAATGACATTTTTAGTACACCCAGAAATTGAAATGTGGGACAGGGTGAGAGCAAAGTAGCTGATAGTTAAATGGTCAGCAAAAAATTGGTTACTACGAGTGAAACGACCAATGAACTTCGCACCACCAAGAAGCACGTGCAAAAATTCTGGGGTCCATGGAGCGATAAGAGCTTTTGGAATGATTGAGCATATAAAAATGACAGATGGACGTGTAAGGAATAGCTTGGCATCTTTACCAAACAGTATTAGATCTTATTGTTGTCTAATACTGTTGGAAAGACGACAGACAATTCCAGTGATCAAATTTGGCCACCTCAGTGCATCCGGGAATCGGTTTTGTTATCCAAATCCATTGATTTTCGATAGAATAAAACTACCCCTTTTTAGGCTTATGGAAAATATATACCACGATTACTGATAATTCAAGTTTAGATATGTTGCATATTCCGAGCATTAATATTGATAACCTCGGCTCCCTGACTTCATCTGTCAAGCTTTCCGCGATACTATTTTGTAGCCGCTCCTCGAAATACTTTGTGAGTCGGCGTGGAATGAATATCATAACCTTAGTACCATCTAATGCGATTTGTGATGAAACGTAAGTGCTAATGAATGTTTCTTGGAAAAAGTTTGAAATATTTTGTGACAAAACATTTATTCCGACTGAAGGATGGCTATCTTATGAGGTATGATTTTATGCATGGTTTGTTTGCCTACGAATATCTTGATATCTGGTCGATTGACTCCGTACCCATTAGTTGTATGCTATGAATAAATCAGGCCTAACAACCGTGTTAGCACCGTAGCGAAAAGGCTACGTTGTGCTTAGGTGGAAATTGTTTTTGTTCCTGACATTTCGGGCGTTTCTAAAGAGCGCTAAAGTGACTCCGTGGAAAAGATGACAATTCTCCGGGAATTTCGTATTTTCCTCGATACTCACGATCAATCAATATTTTGGGGGTAAACCTTGAGTAATGGCCAATTCAAAGTATATTATGCATTCTTATGTAGGTTAATCATGTTCACCAAAGCAACTTTGTTGCTTGTTTGATCGATAAAATTTATCTGATGAACCATACATAAGCCAGGTTTGAAAACAACTCTGAATATTAATTTCAGTGCAACCGACTTTTGAGTAATCGGAAATTCTCAATAAACAACAAAGGATACAGTCGACGGTTGTGCTTCCTCGGGCATAAAACTAGCTGACATTAGATGGGCATAGTTGCCAAGCTACACCCAGGAGACGTGAAGCTATTCAGTGGATTCCTCGGCCACCGATGGGAAATGCGATTGCCTTTAAGTTTGCTAGACCCCGAGCACTAGTTAATATGAGGTTAGGTTGAGCTAACACATTGGTTACGATAACGGTTCTATACGCCTATCGCTCTTTACATGCGAACAGCAATTCAGGTGGTCAATACAGACAAAATATATTGATCCATAAGCATAGCACAGAAAATCATTTATCATTCTTATGTCTGTCCTAGACCTGATTCGCGTGACTTACCACAAGGTGACCAAAGCCAGTCAATATCTTGTTCGGCATAGACTGTTGAGCAGAGTTTCGATAAAATAGGTTGACCAAAATGATTCCATTGCTTCAGTGAGCCAGTTAAATTTGCTTGACCGTTTTCTGCCATTCTTCACAAATCCCTCTAACGTAAGTGAAGCAGTCCAGTTGTGAACAACCATCGCGTTTCTTCCACCGTTCACTTGCTGTTTTCGGAACTTTCTCTTCATGCCGGAAATAGGTTGATGTTCAGAGGATAACAATTTCATTAGTAGCTCTAACCGTGTCACCACATTGCTCTAGTCTTATCTACCGAAAGTAAGGCTTCTGTCCAATCAATTCTTTCGTGAGAACAATACAAAATCAACACGTAAGAGTCGCGTGAGAACTGGACCGCAACGCGTCCGTTGTATTGTCTTCCGGAGGCGTGGAACTGGCACACGTCGATGGAACTAGATAGGAGATGAGAAATGACAATAGCCTAGAATGCACATACACACGCACGACTGCGCAGCCAGAAACGCACGTATATGTATGTGGAGGTCATTTGACTTCACCGTCTTCATTGGATTCTTGTTCATCTTTTAGAAAGACAATAGCATGTCGTGTATCTCGAACCCATTGGTGTTTGGGGCAACGCCCAACGTTGCTAAGACGTACGTATCAGGGCATATCAGTGCGGCTGGGTTCAAAATAAAATTCTTTTGAACAGTGCTTATTTCTAAAACAAATATTGTTTGAACTATTCTGATGCCCTTTTTGACCTCAGAACTGCGGTTCAGGTTGAACTATCCGCTTGACTAGAGACTACTGCATGCTCGAAAATTTCAGTCTGCTATGTAAATATCAAACTGAAGGGGTTCGCTCGAGGATCAGCGGTTTTCTCTCACACAATTTCTGATTGACAAACTACCGTAAAGAGGTAACCTTTGTTAGCGATTTAAAAGACGGAGAGAATTAGATGTTTTCCGGAAGTGTTTCTACAAGGTATTCTGCTTCAACTTTTCAAACAAATGAACAAATAATACATGGAGTTTCTATCAAGCACCAGACAACTGGGTTCATGTTTACCAGCTAACACTGTTCACACTAGCGAGCTGCACTTTGTAGATCTAATGCATCTCGTTCGTTCTCCGTCAATATGCGAACAAGAGGCTTTCGAAAAACCTGTCTGTTGATTTTCTTTCATCAAATTAACTTAGAGCATTCTGCAAATCTTCTATACCAGACAATCTAAACGCCTAATTTGTGAACCTAAATGACTCTCAAACAGTGTTTATCAAGTGGCTAAGTCAGCCTCTTCAGCACGGGATAACATGTGGTTTCCTGCTGTACTGCCCAACTGAACGCTGGTTTTTAAGGCTACGCCGCAGGCAGATACCAGGCTAATATGACGTAGAGCGGATTTCTGGTATATCCGTCATCGAGTACGAAAGCCATGGAATTTGTGAAAGCATGAAAATTATTCCATCATCTGTGCAGTTCCTCTAATTGCTGCTGAAGTGTGCTCATGAGCAGCGAGTGATTGGGATGGTAAGTTATGAATGGTTCACTTAATAGATATTCATAAAAGGGGGGATGAAAAACAAATTTCGAACTGTTTGGTATTTAACTACGACGCTCGCACCTCGTCAGCTCCAGTCGGTAACGAAAACAGACAAGTTCTGTACTCAGTACATACCAGTGTTCACAGGACCCGTGGGCGTTGTATGAAAGCATGATAATGCAGATAAATTGGTGTTATTTTGGAGTTCATAAGCATACCAAGAGGTAATAAAGTGTAGTCAAATGGCACTACAGGCAAGATAGGGCTATCTGGGTTGCATCGATCAACCGAAGAGCACCACGGGCGTATTTTGGTTTAGTTAAAGTCCCTTAAATTAAAAATTATACGGCTGAATTTTGGAACTTGAGCGAGATCACGGCAGTTTTATAGATTTATAGATCGGCTGAATAGATATAACAAAGGAAAGATTATTCAACATGTATGGGAAGAAACGAAATATCAAGACAAATGACACTGAGATTTTGATACACACAGTTGCTTCGTTCTGACCCGTGGAAACAGCCAAATACCAACAGGGATACGAACAATGTATAAATTGAGATAGAAATGCAAATTGCTGATCAAATTACAAGAAATTTCCGTTCGGATCAAGCTTCCCATCTCAGAAATAATGTTGACAGATTCAAATAAACGTGGAAAATGAATGGAGTTTTGGTTATTACCGTGGTTTCCGAACGTCTGTCACATTTGCTTTCAAGCGTGCCACGAAATATTTCTTCCTGTAAACCAGCAAACTACGCTCTCCACACCAGGAGTCATTTGTTTCCTTTGTTCAGTTTGTTCGTGAAAGAACTCTATAGTTTTTTAATCAATGTATATTTTCTGTTCCACTGGACAGCTCAGTTTATTCACCAATGGAGCAACCAGGTATTTGACTTGCTTGTCATCAAGCAGCCTGATAAAATCCATTAACTCTGGGCGTCAACATGTAGATTTTGTCACCACGATCAAGATGAGTAATCCCTTAAATATTCTATACTTGCATGGATGAGCTGGAAACATTGCTACTCTCATGACACCGCCAATAGGTAAAATACTCACATCCTGTATTCCACGACAAATGCACAAAGTGAATAAGGGCAAAATCACGATATTTCAGTGGTTTATCCAATAACTGTGGTGCTCTAGTACAAAATGAAACAAAAACAAAAGGGTGATAAACCCTCACCGAGCGCCCCACTGCGCGTTAAGATCTCTCCCTTGACTTCTAATTTTTTTCGAGTTCAGATAACATCCTGGGGGCGTGTCGCCTTATCATTTGTAAGATTGCTTGACGCGAGTTTCATATTTTCTTGAGATCGGTCTGAAGATATCATTTTGTGAGCTCAACGGGTTTCCCACAACATTGTGGTGCCCCTTATCCGGTGTTTTGAGCCCTGAAATGCGCCTGGTGTCTTCCGTTCATCTGAGAAGCAAAATGATCGGGCGTTTATAACGAATGTGCAAAATTTTCGTCTGCGGACGGCAGGATGAGATACACCGGTTAGCCTGCCAGGAGATTCCTAATCGGGAAATGGTTTTTGATGCTCTGTAGTAAGATAAGATTACCAGTGCAAACTTGGCAGGTTGCTGAAAAAATGTACCTTAATTTCCGTACGCAGTTTCGGGAAGCAAAAGATGAAATGGCATTCGGTCATGCAGGATCAAATGGTACCACCGGTCATTCGTCTGGTTTTTTTTTATGAAAAAACATACCAAGCTAGTTGCTAGCATGGGTCGACGCACGAATATCTGACGAACAACAAATCAGTAGTCGAATTGTCTTTGATAGATCAGAATTTGTTCGGTTTGCACGCACAGTTGCTCGTATTCCACGTAGGGCTTAAGCTTCATCTTTCGAAGTCAACTAGGAAATTCTGACAAACGTTCTAGTTTTTATGACAAAACTTGTGCACTAATACTTTTGCTGTTTACATCTTCGGTTAGCTACTTGAAACTTTGTCAATGAGTAGTTTGTTAAATTTGATTCAAATGAAATTTGACAAAAAGATTCTCTGTAGGGACGGCAAATTTAATTAATTTGTGCTTCAAGATGATGCTGAAGGCACAGGGCAAGTCAATAAATCCGTATGTTAAATATACTTTAAGTGGTTCTTTTCGACATGGCTGGTGGCCTTTCTGACACAGGCTACCGGATCCAACAGACTATTTTTAGACAGATAGTCGACATTGTCTCAGTTAACTGTGTCATTTTATTGGTTATTTGTTCCTGTTATTGTCGTCAATTTCTACAAATGAAGTTCGTTCAACTGCTCCAGCCTTCTGCAGCACGAACATGTTATACAAAGATCCAAACTGTCTTCAAAGAAGTACCCGTCTACAACCAAGACAGCTTTCAGAATTGTGGATGACCTGAGTAACCCCAAACCAGTAATAACGCTCACCCTCGTTAAACTATTGTGTAGCCTCTCTATGAAGCACTCAGCTCAGGCCAGACTAGAAGTTTGAGTTCCGAGTAAGTTTCTTGTGCTATCAGAAAGAGACGAAACCTCTCAATGCATACTTGCCTCACATGCATCTTGTGGAAGTACTGTTGGGCTTGCCGAGTTAGGACTCATCCAAGTGAACTGTGGAAGCAGAGATATTTGACGAAGATTTGTCCATGGAGACAGATGATAAGCTAAGCCGATTGGCTATTCTGCGGCATCCTCTGGGAAACCTACTGCAGCTACACAGCCTCAACTAGAAAAAGTGAGATGTGGGAGTACAGTCACTAGTGGAATCAGTAGCTGACAGGTTGTTCGACGGAGAATCGACTGCATAGATCTAAGTTTATCGAAGGGTGCCATATCTCACCTGGTATCCCGTACACCGGTATCATCATCAGAACACTCTCCTTCCCAGACAGATACACCGAAAAAAATGATGTGGCTGTACAAATCACGTCCCATTTATGCATAATATCTTATGTGTCACCGCATTTCTTGTTGTCCTCAGACCAGACAATATATCCAACAAACTTATATCACCCCGATACCTGGAGAAAACTTCAATCGGACAAAGAATTTCTGGCATGACTGTGTATGACACACTCCGGACTGTTATCTGACTCCATTCCAGCCCCTAACCTACCTTGAAGAATAAAAAAGCACTAGATATTGCGAACTTTTGATTAACGTCATTCTTCAGTACGAACCATTCTGAAAGCATCATAAATGTTACATTCAAATGTTGCATCTAGCGTCATCACCGTGTCACAGAATAAGGTGAAAAAACCTACGGAGACAAATATTCTAACCCTAATAAAGGGTTCAGTCCCCGTGCATTCACATGGAATGAAAGTCACTTGGGAACGATGCTATTAAATAACAAGATATGCAATTTTGAGGCTTCCCTGTTTGCCCAGCTGCTCGAGAAATTGTGTGAAAATACTGTCACACAATCACTAAACTCTCGTGACCAACTCAGTAGAAAAAAGTGAGAAATCGAGACTGCACCGAGTATCGGTGGTTAATTCGCATGACCAGCTGAGATGCGTTCATTGGTCATAGGTCGGCGATAGATTTGATGCGCCTGCCAGGTCACCCCGAACCTGGCTTCGAAACATTATAGGAAATAGGAAA